TACATATACATATGTATCTACGAGTATTTGCTATTATATGGCACGGTAATGTATGTATAACATTACCGTGCCATAACTTAGCATAACTTTAAAAACAAAAAGCGTTTTTCATATTTGATTACAGCTGTAATCTTTCTTTTGTCAGTCTTTTATGAGTTATTATTTTTAATTATTTAGTTCTTTTTCATATAATAACATGTGCAAGTAGACTATAAAATTTAGTTTTGAAAGATATTAATGATATCGAACCCCCGCCGTGTTTCGTGTATGTAATTAAGTCATAAGAAAGTGTCTGATAAAACGTGTTTAATGATCTGAAAACTGATATATTTTGCAGTCATGACTTCGTTTTCTTTATCTATATATAAACACCAATTGCCGTTCGTTAATCTTGCTAAAACTAAACTAAAAAATACCTTGAAGATTTCAATATTATTTTTTTTGTTTTTTTTTTGTTGGGAAAACCCAAAAAAACAGCTGGAAAATCAAAAAGTTCAGTACCGTTTATTTTGTACCTGTGTGTGTGTATATCTATGCTATTATTATAAAGAGGTAAAGTTTGTGAGTTTATGAGTTTGTGAGGTTGTAGGGGGTAATCTCTGTCTCTATTGAAATAATTTAAATGAAATTTGGTAAGAAGATAGTTTAAGGCCCTGGGAAGGACATCATCCCTTAAGGGGGTGAAAATGCGGATGAAAGTTTGTATTGAGAATCAAGCTAGGGACGAACCCGAGCGAAGCAAGGGTGAGTTGCTAGTTAAATATTTATTACGTTTTGTAAATAAAATTACATATTATGTTAAAAGATACGATCATCATGTAACAAGTCAGTTACATTGGAATGTCAGGATAACATTTTGTATATAATCTGTTTTAACGAAACTTACTTTACATAATATACCTAATATTTTTTTATAAATGTCATCTTCAAATATTATTTTTTATTTCTTAAAAAAAATTTAAACATTAAATACCTAGATACAAATAAACTATTTAGTGCAAATGAAGCTTTGTACCTTTTAAAAAAGTCGTGTTACAATTTTAAAAAATTGGAAGATGCTGCAATGTCGTGTCACTGCAGCATCCTCCAATGTTTGGGGATATAAAACCGATAGGTATCATGTGAGGGATATCTACCTGTGTGTTATATAGATGGTGTTTATACATCGTCTAAGTAACGTTATATAGGTAAGTATTTTTTATAGCTAAAACTAAATGTAAGATTTGAGTAGTCCTATAGTTAGTCTTAAAGTTTTCGTAATAAAGCACATGTAGAAACAGATGTAGCATTTAATTGAAGTAATGTGAAGTAAGAGGTTTCGCGTGAATTATTATTGTAATTGTATTCAATTTGTGAAGAATTCGCTTCAACAAGTTTTTACTCGCATTTTTCTCTCGGAAACGAGACAGCTATCACGGTTAATTGGACTTATATCAAAAGAATTAATTAACTTGATTCGGACAAATAGACAGATAACTTGTAAATTATATATTAAACTACAACAATATTATATATTGTATAGCAGCAGTATAACATTAAGTTGATTACCTAATGTTAAAGTACCTATAGAATAAAATGTTTGAAAAATAACATTTCTAGTCGCTAGTATACGGTAGTAACTAGTAGGTAACAGAAAATATGTAGTATAAAAGTAAAAAAATCGAGAAGGAAGTGCAGTCAGGTGTATGTACTTATATGATAACATTTTTTTTACTTAATAGCAATTTCGCGTGACAGTGATGATTATATAACATGAAGTTACACACATTAGGTACATAACACATATAACTTAATTTTAGTTCAACATGTGTTTTTCTTAACTTCAAATAATAACTTAAAAAAGTCATTTTTCCATTACTTCTGGTATAAATCCCAAATTTTATATTAGGTAGGTAACAAATATGTACATTAAGACATAGAAGAAGTAATTTATTTCGCATATTTGATTTAATTTAATTGTTGATCAAGATAAAGAGGCAACTAACGCAGATGTACAGTTAATATCATAAAGCGCGTCAATTCTGATAAAATTATTGTCTAAATAGTCTCGTAGAAACGAGAGAGGGCGCCACCGAGCGGAACGATCCTAATTAACTCATTCAGAGCGTGAATATGGTTGGCGACTTTCATAGTTTTAATAAATATTTTAAAAATATTATTGATGAAATTTCTAAAAAAATAAGGTTTCTTTATGACATCAGGATACCCTCTGTATTATTTATATTAGGTTATACCATAGATTTTAAAGTCGACACTAATAATTTAAAAAAGCTCATATTAATTACAAAAAAATGAACATTGTTATTTTTGTAATGCAATAATTTTCGAAAGCTTTATTTTTATAGTACTAAATATGTATTTCTTGATTGGAAATACAAACTTCCATAGCAGTCCTTTAATAACAGTTAGTCCTGCATTTGAGCTAAGCATACCGTGCACGTTCACAAGGATTACCTCGTAGTCTTAATCTAAGTCTTAATAATGTAGGTATAGAAGTCTGCCCGATTTGTTGATATTTATGATTACTGCTCCGCTCCTTTGGTTAGTAGAATGATGATATATAGCCTTCCTCAATAAACGCGCTATCTAATGCGAAAAGATTTTTTTAAATCGGATTAGTAGTTTCTGAGATTAGCGCGTTCAAATAAATAAATAAACAAACAAACAAAACTCTGCCCCTTCCGGTAGTCTATAATATATATCTAATATTAGTATAGAAGATTTGCCTGATTTGTAAAAATCACCATAACATATATACATTTCTAGTTATAAAATCTACAGTTATGGTAACCCTGAACTCATCTCGCTCACAAGCATATATCACATTTTTTTAATAAGAATTAAACTATTAACTGTATTAGCAATCGCCAAAACAGAAAGTCTAATTGTCTTACATTTTTTTACTTGTGTTAGTGTTCTTTCTGTTTTAGAAGGTAAAATTATTTTTAATATGTAAAGTGTTAAATTTCTCTTATACTTTCTAACTAAATTATGCATCTACTTGCATATTTGATATTAGAAAGAAAATATTATAATTAATTTTGAAACTCGTTTTGGGTTTTAGTTTGGCATAAATTTTCTAAAAGTACTTATAAATAAATACAATAAGCATTTTTTAAGCTATGTTTAGTAAATTTCTTTGTTGCCGAGAAAGCAGATCTGCATTACGCGTATCTTTCATACGTAGCAAAATTATCGATTTGTAATAACTGTTAGATTAAAAATTTAAGAACCTCCAACACAATAATCTGTTAAGGCCATTTCAATGAATATAAACACGATATCTCTGCAGTATTTTAGTAAAGATTCGAGTAGGTATCTTGCTTCATTACATGTGACGCTGCCGGCTGCACTCTGCAGTATCAGGACTGGGTTTCCATATCATTGCAATGTAAATAAAGTAACGGGATACCAAGTTTCGAATGTTTTAGATCTGTGGAAGTTTTTCATATCTTTTTACCGTCTAGAAAAGAGCTGATAGCCTGCAAACGCGATTTATAGCTGTTAAGAATACTCTCGATCACGTCGCCTATCAAACAAAATAATAATTAAAATCGGCTCATCCGTTTGGGTGGTACAATGTTACAGACAGATACACAGACACACCCTGTTTTCCAATTACAGCACTAAAGCGCATTATAAGACATAATGCTCAACTTCGAATGTTTCAACAACAACAACATAGTATAATGTCGCACTTTGGCGCACAAACACGAACAATGCGAAAAAACACTTCTTATATTTTCTACCACTGACAAAAAGTTGGTCGGTTGGTTGGCGTGCCAAAACAGTACTTTACAAAGTGCTCGATTGAGCGGAGCGTTGCTGTAGTTGAAACATTCGAAGTTAGCATTATGCAGCATAATGCGCTTTAGTGCTGTAATTGGAAAGCATTAAACAGGGTAATCATACGGCTGAAATTAATAACAATAATAATTATTTATCCCTATTGCCGCTACATTTTATTTACAGGGTGGTAAAGTTCTTAACAATATTACTTAAATGGCTTTGAGTATTTTAATACTATGTTAAAATGAAATACATTTTCTGATCGTTCAATTGATCGATCAATCGATCGATTTTAACAAAAAAATTAAAGTAACCAAATAAGCTCTGATTTCGTTTTTTTTCTAAAAAGGCTGAATTTTGGTTCTGACCTAATTGTAAATTGGAAGCATTCTGAAAGTACCTATATGAGAAATGTTACCGTCAAGCCCCGGTGATGGCCCGGATTACTGGCATGAAACATTTCTTTTTAAAATACATTACTCGATAATGGTACGAGTTAGATATAAATGTTTTAAATAAAATTAGTATAAAACTGTAAATACTACGTAAAAATCTTTCATAGACTTTTTGATAATTTTAAAGTTTACAAAGTTCCTTTTTAGTTTAAAAAAATAATAATAAATAATAACGTTAAGTTAGAGCGCTGAGCTTATTTATATTACAAGCTCGGTCATATATATGAATCGTATTGGTTTAAGTATAAAGTCGTTTAATGAATTTTAATCGTTTTTAGTAATGTAGAAAATTGTCAGTTTCATTTTTATCCAGGCAAGCACCAACAAATGCTTCAAATTTTTATTTGTCATACATGCTTCAAATACATTGCGTGCCTAATATGGATATGCTAGCTGATAGTTATTTTGCAAAAAAATAATAATTGAACAACTTTTTAACATAAACTTCATTCTGTATAAAATTCCTGCTAAATATATTACTTTAGTTCTAGTAAGAAGCTTGTATTATGATAACATCTTATAAGCTTCTTAGTTTTAGCTTCTTGTTTAGATACTATATGTGGAATGTTACCGAGTTTTGCGTTAGCGTCTAATATTGTGGTTATCTGTTTTGATTTGGCATTGACAGCCGTGATTACATTAATAATCTGTGTTATACATTGACATTTGACAGATAAATCTAAGAAGTTTATAGGTTATCTTAATGTTTTGAGTTTACTAATATTTTAAAATAAATCGAAAAGTAATAAATAAAAAATGGCGTTTATGCCAGTACGCACGCATGTTATGCGTTTAATTGGACAAAGCGGTAACTACTCCACTCTGTTACGACGATCCATGGCTTATAAGAGCGCTATATCTTTGGAGACCTTATATCCTAATAGTTCTTTAAAGCTTTCTACACCCTCATTCGTAAGTACTACATTTGACGAATTTAATATACTGGCTTTAAGTATTATGTCATGATTAAGTTTTGAAATATGTTAATGCTTTCAGACTCCTGATCCAAACGAAAAATTCTCGGGTTATATACCTATAGAGAAATTAGACATTAAATATAGTGCCAGTTCGGGACCGGGAGGACAAAATGTCAATAAGGTACAATAAATATAATTCTGATATACAAAATAATATAATTTTAATGTTAGCTATATTTTAGTGATGGACCCTAATTTCAATTAGAGTTAAGACTAAGATGTGTCATACTTTTCAAGTTTCAACCCCTGTTTGAATGTGGATCTCTCAAGATCAGTACTTTAACATCAATACTTTAATCTATTTATGACACCATTGAAGCCATCTAATAGTACATGTAAATGATAATAAAATAACAAATATTATATGATTAATTAGTTGTTTTACTCTCTCTTATAGTCACTAACACTTAAGATGTATTTTATTTTAGGTACATACAAAAGTTGATTTGAGATTCAAATTAAATGAAGCAGATTGGATTCCTGCAGAAGTAAAACATAAAATGTTGGAGCTTGTAAGTTATAATAACACACTGCTTCATTAATAATGAACTTAAAAAAATGTGTTTAATAATATAATTAATTAATTTTTAAGCATGGCAACAAACTTACTAAGGAAGGATACTTAATTCTACGTTCAGATCTGACCCGCTCTCAACAATTGAACCTTGCAGACTGTCTTCAGAAACTCAGAAATATGTTACGAGATGCTGCAGTTACCAAACGGAAGCCTGCACCAGAGACTGAAGAAAAAATCAGACAAAGGTAGCATTATTTTATATGAAGTTGTTTTATCAAAATTCTATTATTGATAGTATGAGCTATAAATGGTGTCATCCTTTGCAAAATAGTTTTCATTAAGAATTAAAAAAGTATGTTCAAAAAAAAGAAAAAACTTGTTTAGTTTGTTTTCTTGTGGGTTGGGAAGAGAGGATACAATGATGTCTTTTTTTTATTATTTTTCACTTTTTACTTGGTGTTATAAGCCAACCAACTAACCAAGGTTATCAGGAGCTAACTTATTTTATCCTTGTATTTAACTTTTATAACATGGTTTGTAGATATTTGCACGGTATGGGGCTCAAAATCTTTTGGTGTGCTAAAATAATATTTCTTTCTGCTGCTCCATGGTCACACACAATATATTTGTTGCAGACACTTAAAGGCGTCGCGGCTGCGTGTTGCCATCAAGCGTGAAGCAGCTTTAAAGCGTGCCCAGAGTCAATCACCAACTGTTATGGACTTATGATTTTTCTATTAAATTGGGCATACGCATATCAATTGAATTGTAAGGTGACAGTTGTAAATTGCTATTAAAAATGTTAAATGACTAATATTTATCTTATGAAGATACTAGCAGACCCGACAGACATTACCCTGCCCGAAAATTGTCTTTACAAAAATCCTACAACTGCAGCGCCACCTCTAGTTGTGGTCTGGTTCTAGTTGTGAATCTAAACCAAACAGGAACCCATTCAAACACAAAAAAAAACGTTTAAATCAGTCCAGCTGTTTAGCAGTTCAGTGACATACACACACACACACACACACACAGAAGAATTATATATTTAGAGTGTGGCACTGAAGAGCATAAAGAGTTTACAATTCTATTATGTATTTTGCAAAAATATTATGTATAGTATAATTTGGGATTCGGGAATTACTGTCACTTACAATTCAGGATGATATTCGCCATTTTATTAACATCCTTTAATAAAATGGCAAAAAACAAAGTTGTACTATTGTGACTGATTTAAAACAATGTAGAAAAATAAATAATAACAATTTTTTATCATAATATTGAATTATTTCGGTCACTACTACAATAATTGTATGCCCAATTAATGTAATAAAGGAAGTGTATATTTAGGTGTTTAGAGTTTTAGAAATAAACATTAAAAGTATTTTTTGTTATTTTTATTTTTTTTAACAGTTTTATATTTAAGCTTAATATCTTAATATTATATAAATTAATAGTTTTAGCATGAAATATCTTGATAATCAAATTGCTCGTAGAAATTTGTTACAATTGCTGTAAAATTACATTTTATAGGAAATAATTATAAGGCTAAAATTAAATAAATTATGCATAGTAAACCCTCTTGTATTCATATTTTTAAGTTTACTCATTTTTACATCTTGCAACATTTTTGTTACCATAGAAACGGGACAACAAATATATTTAAGCATTCTTTTCTGTTTTGACAGAGGTATTAAAAAAATAAAGATTTCTATTTTTAATTAAATACGATGTCTTACAGGGATTTAAGGAGTAAGTTTCATATATTATATAAAAATAATTTAGTCTTAATAAGACAGACGTTTACTAAGTTTTAAAAAAATGTTTTTGATGAAAGTTGTTTGGATTGCTCTTAAAAAACATTAAACCAATTTTGGTTAGATTTTAGCGAGGCTATGCGTGCACTCGGCTTTCCCCAACAAATATCGTTGGAAAGTTTTCGTAATCCTAACTGGGATTTAGTAGAAGAATGTTTGAGGTGGTTGGCGGCGAGAATCGAACCTGATGCCGCGCTGGCCGGGGGGAAAGACTCTGTAGAGCAACGTGTCGCTATGGTCACACATGCTATTGAATTATTCGTAAGTATACTACAAACTGGCATATAAAATAACTGAATGTTACATATGTATAATGTGTATGTATTTGTACACATTATATATTATATATGTAGGTGTGTCTCTGTTTAAAATAATTTACTCCAAATTATCGATTATTATAATATAATCAATTTCGGTAACGACAATTAATTTAATCGAGGATGTTATTGGAAAGGATTCGAGCGTCAATTACATTTTGCTATTTCTATTACTTTTAATAGTAACTAGCATTGCCCGCGGCTTCGCCCGCGTTCAGATGACCAAAAACCAAATTCTTAGGTTTTACATATCGGTATACTCTTACATTGCAGTTTTTGTATTTTTCTCAGAAATGAGATATTTTCACGCAGTAAAAAGTATCCTATATGTTGACCCGGATAACCAGCTATCACCATACCAAATTTCATCAAAATCCCTTCAGTGGTTTTTCTGTGATGCGGTAACAGACAGACAAAAATTCTAAAAACTATAGATTCGGCCTCTGTATCGATAATAATTAATAATGTTTATTTCAATAAGGTTTTCCAAAAAATATTTAATGCACAGATTCGACTAAGTTAGAATTTTATTATATGTATAGATAAAAATCATAAAACAAAACTCATTATAATATTCTGTTATATTTTTATATTAATTTATCAGGCATATCTAGGCTTACTTTTTCAGAGTTCAGATTCATTATATTCTCATTCATTATTTCTTTAAAAGTCACTTGGAAAGTAGATTCTTTTCGAATCGACTGTCTAAGATTGTCATGCCATAATCTAGCATTCACGAGCCAACCTAAAGTTGAACGGTAAGAAGATCTACGGTGCGGATGGGTGGGCGGTGCGGGAGCTACTCAAAGTAGCCAATCTTCTCCGATCGGCTTTGGAGGCACGTAGTAACGATGACGCATCTATTGACTCCAACCCTCTGGTTTATGATGTTAGCAATCGTGTAAGTAATGAAATTAACTTTATTACAATGAGGAAAGTCTTTTTAATTATTCTCAATTAATTTTTAATCTACATGTTACTTTTGAACGAATAAATTCAATAAAATGTATGTAAAACAGAAATGATACGTACACATATACTATTTATTTTTTACAAGTAGGTATATATTTTTTATACATCATTTTTTTAATCTTATTCAAAAGCGAACCAAATTCTATATAAATATAATCGAATATGCATAATGTTTCGTATAGGTATTTCCACACCATATAATTTGGGCTTGATCGAACGATCAAAATTTTCGAACTTTAGGCCTTAAGGTTTACTTGATTTGCTGTTTTACCACTTGAGTAAAGAAAAAATAAATATAATATAATAGGAACAAATAATGTTAACGAAAATATAAATTGTAGAGATGTCATTTAAGTTCTATTTTTTTAGTTGTTACAATTGAATAACTTCCGCAGATTAGTGAAATAAAGGAAGCCCGAAGTCTGGCGACAGATATCACAGCGCAAGGAGCCTTTCTATACGATTTGCTAGGGAAAGAGCCCGAGAACAAGGTTCGTATTTTGCTTATTTCATTAAAATGAGAGGATCAATCTCATTATATTTCTTTAGGTCATATGAATATGGATCTTGTATTAAACCCTTTTTACGTGTTTTCTTAATGCGAGGGGATCAGGCCGCTACGCTGGACAAGTGCGGGTTAGCGAACTTCACATGTGTGTTTAAAAACTATTTAGGTTCTTTTAGACATGCTGTTTTCCAATTCTATAAAGCAAGTGGTAGGTAATCACGTTGAAAATGATTCGCACATAAAAATATCTTTTTCTTACAATATAGGAAACTTATTTTTCTAGGAACATCGTGACAAAGCCCTGTCACGTCAGCTCGACATGTCGTCCCTGCAGGCAGCGCTGACGCGCGCCGCGCAGGCGGCGGCGGCGCAGGTGGCGGCGGCGCGCGCGCAGATAGATAACGTGGCCTCCAGCGAGGCCGCCCTCGACGCCAAGCTGGAGAGGCGGAGGGCCGAGCTGCAGAGGGCGGAGAAGAGGTTGCATACAGTGCAGAAGATAAAGTGAGTTTTATTTTGGATTATGAGTGATATCTCTTCCTTTGGCAATTTTTAAAATAGGGTGATATGATTTTCGTAATCTCTAACTCTAGATAAAAGATGTCTGGGGATAGAGATCATTGAAGGATATATTAGATGGTATAAAAGCTCGTGATTGTGTTTGATTGAAGTGATCATTTTCCCAAATAAATGCACGCACAGTAGTAAATGTTTTGGCATATCCTTCCAATCCGCAATGCTGTCAACACTATGGTAGCAAAAATTATTTATTTAGACACGAATGTAAGATTTAATTAACTTCTGATAACGCTAAGTCATCTGACACAGTGTCTATGATGACGATTGTAAAGATGGTGAAGGTGGTCTACATAACACAGATATTGGAAGACACAAGTAAAAGGGTTTTAAGTTATATTAAATTTTACCATTTTCTGCACGCTACGCTGAAGTGCGACGCTGATGCTTATGTCTATACCGTACATGCCCTATAATTTTGTAGGTTTTTTCTACATCGCTATGCCTAATTTAAACCATTTTCCCAGACCAGCTTACCAGAGCGAGCTATCAGCTCTCGAGGGCGAGATAGAGGATCTGTGGGAGCAGTACGTGCAGCGCTACCGCTGCGTGGAGGCGCTCAAGCACCAGCTCAGTCTGCTGGAGACTGCGCAGGCTGAGGTAGGCTTCCAACGAGATGAATTTTTACACAACCACTTGTATAGTGTACCTATATACATGTGGCATTTTAAATGCATTTCCCAAGAATAAAGGCAGAAAGACTACTTGAATAATTCGCAGTCTCCGGGATATGCAGACTACTTTATGTGGATTTGGTGTTTTCCAAAACTATAGAAAAGGAGTCAACTATGATACACAAAAACAACTTATTGAATTTTTGAATACTTAATGTCTTAAAGTGTGTTATTGTTATTGTATCAGTATGAAATGCATTTATTTTCTAATTATTAAGTAATTTAAACACTCATTAAATCTCCAAAGTAAAGATCAGACACTTTAGTAAATTACATTATTTGACTGTGGACCATCAGCACTTACAACTCTAAATTCTTTTTAAATATTGTCTCGAATTCAATTTAAAATAGTCTCTATATTTTTGCGCAACTGGGCTAAATTATGGGTTATACTCTCTATGTACCTACATACACATATGTATCTGTCCATATAAGGAAATCATTTCCAACACGATTGCCACTTGTCTTACGGTGAATTAAAACAAACTGAGAGGACCTTGCACGTTTTCGAAAGACATGCTCAGTCCGCCCCCACTTGGCCACTGGTGGACTATGGCCTGATCCCCCTAGTACTGAAGGGAGGCCCACGCCCAGCAGTGGGACGTTAAAAAGTTCTGAATACATACACACGTACATATAAGGAGTGTAGTGTAAATAAATTAAATTGTATTCCAGGCAGCAGAAGAGCAACAAGCGGCCATCATGCAGCTCATACACAAGTACGAAACGGAAGACGTGTTGGGGAAACTCAGTGAATCTGGTAATGAGATAATTCATTTATATGTATTATATGTATATATAGTTTTGCGTATAACGTTTTGATAATGTGTCGCCTTTTTTTTCTTCCTCTATTTCTTTTCTGACTAGAATATTCTCTGCTGATTTCAAAAAATAGTAGAAAACGGTAAATTTAAATAAAAAATTGGAATAGACTAGATTGCTTATTATAAAACATTCAGTAAATATATATACATTATATTCCAAAATGTCAAATAGTTAAAGACCAAAATTAGACGTAGTTATGCAAAATGGATCCAGCCTACTAAAACCGTTTTTCTGAGTTACTGTCATAAATGACACCTACATATCAACTTAGGAAGTAGATAAAGTAGATAAAATACCCAATATTTAAGAGGAATTTCAAAAAAACTACTACTTTTTTGAAATTCCTCTTAAATATTGGGTATTTTATCTACTTCCTAAGTTGATATGAAAATAGGAGTTTTAATATATATATATAGTAAAACTCCTATTTTCTCGAAAGTAAGTTTTTGTAGTTGAATCTATTTTGTATAATTACGTCTAAATGGTGTTTAATGTTTAGACGACATGGAGTCCAGTGATGAAGGCAAGGAGTCAGTGAAGCACCCGCGCCCCGCCACGAGGCCCAAGACCAGGCTCCGGATCAAGACTGCAGGTAAATATGTCTGGTTGAAACACTCGTCTCCACAGAACTGCCTTCCGAGCCGGTGGTAGATTCCTCACGAACTTTTATATGCCGACATTTAATTTAAATTTCAAAACTGTAATAAATGACGATTTAAAAGTTATTGTTAAAGTCTATTTGAATAAAATATATATTGATTTTATTTTATTGAATCTACGGCTGTTGATACCCAGATTCTGGGGTCAAATCCTGGGATGGGTTTAGTTATTGGGCTTTTTGATAATGTAGGTAATATTCTGTAGCGGTTGGTTACATCTTTCGATCCTCCGGCGTCCCATTAAGGCGGAGGGGAGGGGAATGTCGGGTTTTAGTGGGTAGTACCGGCTCTTCTAGCCGGTGAGCCCCACATCACCACCTGGGGGATCAGGTGCGTAAATGCATTTCCCGACATAAAAAAAAAAGCGGTTGGTTACATCTTCATGCTTCGGAGAACATTGGTTTTGGTGCGAGTCTTGGATTGTTCCCTCGTTCTCTCGTTATGAAATTAATCAGTAGGGTTGTATAATAGTTAGTTTGGGAGTTTGGCTTTTATTTGAAGTTTGTATAGTTTCTAAAGAATAGGCTGACGATGGTCTTCCCATTAAAGGTTTTAAAAAGGCAATTTTGTCAACGTTTTTAGAAAAAATATCTCAACTAATAATTAATAATATTTTCTTATTTTATAAAACACTTATTAATTAGTAAAATAAGATAAAACAAAGATAGTAAATGAGTAAACTACGGCAAGTCACTATTTAGTCCATCTTTAGTGTCAGTGTATGTACTAAGTTACTGTTAAGTAGTAGAATTACTGTCCAAAAACAGTCACCAGGCGAATTTAATCACTGCCACTTCAAAAAAAAAACACGTAATACTTGTGGTAAATTCCCAGGAGTAGGGCCGGACGCGCGCCACGCCTTCGGCAGCATGCAGGCGCGGGGCTCGCCCGAGGACCTCGGCGCCTCCAGCTCCGACACCGACCTGTCCGACGCCCAGCTGTATGGTGAGACGCATTGTTCTTACTACCCACTTACACTTGCTTGGCTACTTTGTAACTTTTATATCGAATTATGATACACAATTATGAAGCACGACTGGTCTAAGTTGTTAATAGCACGTTGTTACATACTTGTAATTAATCTGTATAATTTAAGTAACAAAATATTTGAATTAACGAGTGCAAATAAATGTTAATTTATAGAAAAAATCGTAATAATATTCAATTCATAAAAGTATGCAATTTTTCATCAATGTTTTCTTATGACGTTATCACGTAAAATTACCGTCCGTAAACCGACTTTACAGAAAGCCAATTTTTTTTACCCTAATCTGGAACCTGAATGGAGACAACTAAAATGAAAAAAAAACTTTTTTATTGTGACTGTTTTGTTCAATTAATTGATACAATTTAATGTATGAGTAAAATCTGTATAGAACAAACACTAAACCTTAAAACTACAGAAAACCATGGAATGCAACAATTCATGTATAACGGCGCTAGCTCTAGCATCCTTGCACAAACAAACGGGAAATAGACGAAAAGAACTATTTTTGTTTAATTCTTTTTTGAGCTTTTCGCGGATTTGTTTTGATTTTTAGTTTCCGACGTTTCGAATGTTTTACAGCAAACATATCGGGAGAGATTAAGGTTTTATACGTCTCGAAAATTAATAATTATAATAATACAGTTATTACAGACGGCATCTACCCATAAAAAGGTAATGAAGTATGACTTCTAACATGACTTGTCCCGCAGGGGACGGCGGGCGCTGGTCGCGGCCGCGGCCCGCCACGCGCACGCTGGCCGCCGCCGACCACTACGCCGACCTCGAGCACGGTGGGCACACTCCATAATGCTCTACCGATTTCAGTTACAGCGGCCCATCTCACTGAGACTAGCCGCGCTGAAGATATTATAGTGCAGCTCGTGTACGCGCAGACACAACGTGCACTCTCTGTTCCTTTTACTCTCAAAGTTCGATGGGACGATACTTCGTAACAAAAAAATCAATTAACAGTCAACTAAACTTAGCCCGACCAGAGACTCGAACCCAGGACCTCCGGATCTGCGACCATACAAGCTAGCCACTAGACCACCGAAGCAGTTGTCCACTCCATTGCACTAGTTAAGTCGCAAAGGGCTCATATACGAGCAACTCGATTCACAACAACTCGCTTTTTTAATTATTCCTGCAATTGTTTAGAAATTAAAATAATTTTTTTTTCCATATATATTTTATATTGTTCTCCGAATCTAACATAATTTGTTTCAGCGACAAGCTTTCAATTAATTAAAGTCTTAATAATATTAATAAACTAGCATTGCCCGCGTTTAGATGACAAAAAACCAAATTCTTAGGTTTACATATTAGTATACTCTTACAATGCAGTTTTTGTATTTTTTCTCTAAAATGAGATATTTTCCCGCGGTATAAAATATCCTATATGTTGACCTGGATAACCAGCTATCATCGTACCAAATTTTATCAAAGTCTGTCCAGTGGTTTTCTCGTGATGCGGTAACAGACAGATGACAGACAGACAAAAATTCTAAAAACTATAGATTCGGACTCTGTATCGATAATAATGTCTATTTCAATTAAATTTTCCAAAAAAAATAATAATCTACAGATTCGACTTAGTTACAATTTTATTATATGTATAGATGATTGAGCTAAGACGGAAACCCTAAATGACTGAACGGCTTACTTGTCTAAAAATGTTACCTTTCGCGATTATTAGATCGCTTAGCTTCGTTAAAATGCTTCTTTTTTTAATATACTTACTTCTTTAATTTAATTCTGTTCTCTTGTTAATGGCTTCAAAGCGTGCCAGTTGAGCACAGATTACTTTACCAATGTCACGTAGAAAAAATATTTCTTTTTACGCGAATATTTGACTTTTGAAATAAAATTCTCTGATTCTGATTGTCTCGCGGTTATAAATGGATCGTAGTTATGAACGCGAGAAAATTTAGAAGATGGCTCATTGTCTTTTAGTTACAAGCTACACTTGTAATAATTATGTGAGCAAATTTAAGAAGTTGATCATTAATAATGACAGATGATGGAGTTTTATCTACATATTTATATGTATTTTAGATAATAAATACTTACTTTTATTTTAAAATAAAGGATAATTTACACTACTGGAAAGTACAACAAGTATTGGTCGTTTGAACTAATAAGCACTAAGGCGACGTAAAGTCACTTTCTAATTTGTTTATATTTTTCAGGTGCGGAGGATGTGGAGGGGGAGGCGGAGGGATCGGAGGGCTCGCTGGGGAGCTCCTCGGAGAGCGAGCTGCGGCTGACGAGCGCGCACCCCGGCCGGGTGTCCGCGCTCAGTGATAATGAGTTTTAAAGAGTTGGAGTTTTTAAAGAGTTGGAGTTGAAATTTATCATTTTGTTTTCTTGATGTCATAACCAATAAAGTATGAAAAATTTATTGTGTTAAGTTATATATATATATATATATATATATATATATATATATATATATATATATATATATATATATATAATTCTATATTTATTAAAGAGATATCTTTTCATCTGTTGATACGTACCATACCACATTTAATTTTAGAAATTGCGGGAAATAAAACACCATTTTTATAAAAAATGTATTTTATATTAACATTTCAAGCAGTTTTACATTAAATAATCGCTTTCCTCTATATACAAGTCGTTGAGTAGCGGTTTTAAAAACACTAACAAAAGTAAAAAAAATATTCTAGGTACATCCATATTTTTAATTATAACGATATTATTTATTGCCAAAACTTTTAAAAATATCAGTTATTAAAAATTTGCATCTACCTTCTCATTTCACACAGTTTCTTCATAGTATAATAATTATATGTACAAATTAAAACTAATTAATCTCAATAAGACTTGCTTTAAAATAGCAAAAATGACGTAAACTGTGCTTTTTTGAACTTTGAAATTTGATGGAAATAAAAATCATAGTGCAATATAGATAAAGACGTTTACATGTCTATGGTGTAATAAATGTAGATTAAATAAAAAAAAAACACATCATTTATGATAGATAAATATAACATTATTACTAATATTAATGTGCTACAACTCGTGGTAACAAGAATAAAGCTAGAAACACTATCCTAAATAACATTCTAATAAGTTGAAGCAAAATGGTGGTAGTAGAGGAATACTACAGACTACTACAGGTATAGTCTGTGCCATTTTATTATTTTAGATTTCTGTCAGAGTTTTTTGATTCTAAACGTTAAAAAAGCTAATAAACTATAAAATTTTCAGCTTATTTTTGAGTTGTAAGGCCTAATTAAGTATTACGCTTCCATGCGATTGCAAAGCGATTGCTATCAATCGAAATCAATAAACTAGATAACGATATCAATTTATTCAAACAGTCTTATTTGGGCTTTTCACTTATTAAATTTAGTACATTTCAATTGCTTTGAGCGGAACCTTAATTGTTTTACTAAAATAAAAGTAGCCTATGTTACTCCTTGTAACATCAGCTATCTGCTAGTGAAAGCCCGTCAAAATCACTCCGACCGTTTCGGAGATTAGCCGAAACAAACAGACAGCGAAAAAAATAAAAATAGTGTTTTTCTTATAAGTAGATACCGTATATAATTTCATATGCGTTTATTAACAAGCTGTTATTTTGAGATTACAAACAGACACTTCAATTTTATTTATATAGATAATTTGAGGTGAAATTGTAACGCTGATTGTACCCATAAAAAAGCTCCCGCCATTTTGTTTCAGCCTATTAGAGCAATACTATAAGTAAAATAATTGAATTGAGCAATTTTAGATGTGCTATTTACAGACCAATGGTGTCGTAACGACGATTTGGCACCGGTTAGGTACATCGGACTTGAGTTCAAATATACAAGTTAAAGATAATCACTAAAATAAAACTTAAAGAGTAGTAGATGTAAAACTTGTAAAATTTAAAAATAAAACTGTACATTTTTAAAATCACTAGCGATTCACCCGCGCTCAGGTTCGTAGGGACGTTTTGACGCTTAGTATGGAACATATTTGGGGTGAAGACAAATCCAGCAGTTCTCGAGTTATGTGTTGTAACAAACCCGACTTTGTTTTATACATATAGATTAATGTATTTACTAAAAATTATATATGGTCTTGAAGAAAGAATTCGGATTTTTTGTTTATGTTAGTTTGACAATTCTATATTATTAAAATATAATATTGCACTCAGTACACATTAGGGAAAACATTCAGTCTCTCCGGTGACCATGTTTGCTGTAAAGCATTTGAAACGCCGGGAATCAAAAATTAAAATAAATCCGCGACGAAGTCCGAGAACATAGTTTCATTTAAATTCAAATTAAAAAATAGAGAGTTTTACATCTACAAAATGTTAAACTAGATAAATAGACCTTATTACATACGATATAACACAGATATTTGACGATACAGAACAATTTACACGTGTTAGTAAGGTGAGTGTTAATTTGTGTGTTAGACCATTCAAAACCCCAGAACCCATTTTTTGAAATTAAGAAAAAAAGTGGTTAAAAAATATATTTTTAGCTAAAATTAAACATAGTCTTGGCCTACCGCCTACACTATGAGAGTAGGTATAGTTTTTGATAAATCTAAGCGATACCTACCTCAATTATTATTATTTATGAATATGAACCACCATATATAAAAACACATGAATTTAAAGAAAACTTTCTAACTCAAAGAGTGTAGAGTTACTATATTTAAGATAATTTAGAAGTCGGTGTACCTCCTTAGTTAATTAAAAGTAAATATTTATTAACATTTTATTATTATTATATTTTCATTCAATATTTAATAAAACAAAAAAAAAAAAAAAAAGTTTGAAATAATTTTTATTATCGCGTCGTAAAAATATTTTCCCTGACGCGCCAAAAGAAGTATAACTTCAATAAATATAGGTATATTTTAAGGTGTATGATAATTGCAAAATTAGTAGTAAAGAGTGTTAGTGATACAAAAGCCAGGTAAGTTTGGTTTCATACTTAACTATTAATTTTAGTAATTTAAAAGCAGGTATATAAGCTTACAGCGATATGTACTTATATGTAAAATGTTAGGAATTTAATTCTACTTATTTCATTAATCGAACAGTTTGACAATAAAAATAATATTGTGTTAATAATAACAACTTCGTAGTTAATCAAATTAATTTATCTAATTTACTCACGCTTTTTCATATTACATAAGAAGAAGAAAGCTTGTAAAAAAATAAAAAAATAAATAAAAATTTAAAGCGCGCTTACATCGTACATATACTTAATATTGTTCTTACCGTATTCTTTATATATTTACCTAACTTATAACTTACTCTACAAAATGTACATCCCTTACTAAAATATCATTAAAATAAAGCTTTTTTGAAAATTTAAATGATTGACATTTCAAATAAAGTCATCTTTACTAGGATAAATTCCCTCCCAAGTGGTCGCAAAATTAAAATGTAAACTAAGTAAACCTAAGTATTTGATAAACAAAATTATTTTTCCTTTACATATTAACAAGTATTGCAAATGGTATACAAGAAGGTATTGTAAAATAGTTTAATACTCGAAAAAAACCTCTTTAATTTTTTTTTTGTATGTAGTATAGAACTAACTAGAATGTTTTCAGCCACATTCCCTCTAAGCCCACAAGGATTTGACCACATGTGGGCGATTACTGGGATTGATGTGATTGGTTAGAATGTGAGGAGTCAGTGCTGGCGAGTGAGTCGTGCTGCTCCGCCGCGTGCCTGCTCTCGTCGCATACAGCGATGAACTGCTCTGCATATGCCCTGGAATATAGCAATTATATATGCTTAGTGAATAGAAGATGAGCTGGTATGACTTCTACATTTAGGAGGTTAGTATTAGCAACCCCCTAATAATGTGAGTTCATCTAATGTCGTGGTGGGGAAAGAAGGTGGGGGAGGAGGGGAGGTTAGGGGGTATTTGCAACCATGCGTACAACCCCATGGTTATGTAGTCTGCTTCGGCAGACCTATAGTCGGGGCATCGTGGTTGAGTGCGTAAGCGATCCTGGGACGTCTCATTTTTTCAGTGTTCTAGGAAGACCACATGAAATAAAATTATAACACCATAAATTACATAAATAACTAAAAAGGCTTTGTCTTTTTCAAGGATTTCCTTATCTTACCGTTTACCTACACAAATATGGCGATTGAGGTCTAAATAAAAAAAAGCAATAGTTAAATAAAACTATTTTGCAGTGCTATTTAGTTAGCAATTATCAAATATATAAACTAGAATAAAACTATTAGAAATGATTACGGATAGGTATGTTGCTCCAATGTCATCAGCTATCTGCCTATTACGGCACTAACAAGGCGAAATAACACAAAAGAGCTATGCAGTTGACATTTTTTTACTAAACATGACGAATATATGTTTAGTAAAACCATTATACGTTCATAAAACTAGATTTTTCCTTTTATGTTACCCAAATATAATAATTTATTCCTTGTCTAGTATTCAGGCCTTTTTAACGTCCCACTGCTGGGGGTGGGCCTCCCTTCAGTACGAGGGGGATCAGGCCATAGTCCACCACGCTGGCCAAGTGCGGGCGGACTTCACATGTTCTTCAAAAACTTGCTAGGTTCTTTCAGAAATGCAGGTTTTCTCACGATCTTTTTCTTCAAGATAAGTGTTAAACATGTTGGAAATGCTTCGCACGTGAAAATTTTAGATGTGCGATACTCGGGATTTGAACCCACTTCACTCAGTTTACCAAGCGAGCGCTGGGCTATCACTGACTAAAAACATTAAACAAAAACCGTGATTTCTATAATATGGCCGTCTGCTAGATATTGTTTTATATATATATATATATATATATATATATATATATATATATATATATATATATATATATATATATGCACACATTTTTCATTCGGTAGTGTTAGATGAGTTAACGATATTACCACAGATCTTATATTGACAGAAATTGAGAATATTTTTTGTAGTAGGTGAGTGGATAGCCAATTTGTGTTTTCATGGTTAATTACTAAGAGAAGAATTATTCCTTATGGTAACCGGTATTACGATATGATCGTTTCTCAAAGTAGTTTCAGATAAAATGGTGTGCAATTTGTTGCTTAAATAATACAATGAAGTATTATAAATTAACCTCTAAAATTACTTAATCACTAGAGCTAATCTGCTGCTAATTTTAACTAATTTTAATTTAATACGGGTGTATATTTTTCTTTATTGTACGCGATAAATTCGCCAATTGTGCTAGTAGCTACAAACCTTCAAGTAAAATGACTGTGACATACCGACAGACAGACTTGAAGAAACAATAAGGATTACGTTTTTGCCTTAAAAAAGGAAATGATAACTACTAATAAAAAAGAAATAACAATTTTTCTTATAAGCACAAACTTTTTAAGACACGTATTAAATATTTACAATGTGGACCGACTACTTACTGAAGTCGCTGGAGCCCACTGGATGCGGATAGCACAAGGCTATATGGGATATATGGGAGGCCTATGTCCAGTAGTGAACGTGTTTCAGCTGAAGCGAACGATTAAATATTTAATTTTACCTATCCAATCCAGTGTACGTCCTCTTCAAGTCGTCCAGCGAGGGGTGGTCTCTGTCCGCGCGCTTGCGGTGAATGCGCTCGAGGGACCGGGTGAGCTGGGCGTCCTGGCGACGACGAGACCTACGCTCCGACCGCGCCCGGGGGGAGCGGCGGCGACGGCGCTGGAACGATAATCATCAAATTTGTTAAATTAATAATATTAAGTTGATATATTATCTGATTTACCACACAGAGACCGGAATATTCTACTTGTAGGTTACCTAATAGGCTAAGTACCAAAACCTGGTTCAAAATTACTTACTTAAAGTACTAGAAATATTCGCTATTTTCTTGTACTCTGCAATTGGGGGTAGCGACAGATTGATATAGTAAGAAAAAAAACGACATTGAAAATTCACATTTTAACAAAAAAAATACGAAAACATAGGTATAGGATATCTAACGTGTAATAACTTTTTAGGTAAAAAGTTATTTTACCTTATACGTATAGATGAAATTACTTGCTCTTTTTTTTTTGTTTGAGACTAGCATTGCCCGCGGCTCCGCTCGCGTTCAGATGACCAAAAACCAAATTCTTAGGTCTTACATATTAGCATACTCTTACAATGCAGTTTTATATTTTTTCTCAGAAATGAGACATTTTCCTGCGGTAAAAAGTATCCTATATGTTGACCCGGACAAGCAGCTATCACCATACCAAATTTTATCAAAATCCCTCCAGTGATTTTTCTGTGATGCGCTAACAGACAGACAGACAGACAAAAATTCTAAAAACTATAGATTCGGCCTCTGTATCGATAATAATGTCTATTTCAATAAGATTTTCCAAAAAATATTTAATGTACAGATTCGGCTTAGTTACAATTTTATTATATGTATAGATTATAATTAAATAATATTAATTATCATCATCACATTTACCTCTGGCATTGGATAAAAGATATGTGTCCCGTAAGGCGCGGGCGGCAGCGGCAGCGTTGCGTAGCGCGGCGGCACCATCATGCCCACCGGCACTCGGCCCAGCTGGAAATAACATATTTGTTTATATAATACTTTCTTATTTTGCTTTATTTTATATATACATATAATAATGACTTTTGAGACGTCTAAAACCGTAGTCTCTCGTGACCATGATTGCTGTAAAGCATTCGAAACGTCGGGACCCAAAAATCAAAATAAATCCAGGAAAAAATAATTTTATTTCAAATATTTGTTTATTCATAATATTACACTTCATGGCTCCCGTTTATAATAATTATTCTGCGTAAAGACTCTTGAAATATTCTGGCAATATATTTGTTACGAGCAGACCTCGAACTCATGACCTTTAGCATAGAGTTAGATGTAAACCATACTAATGTCTTTACTTTAAGTTTTAAGTGATGATTGCAAAATATTTCATTAAAGTATAGGCCTAAAATGAACAAGGCCCCTTCATTCTAGCCACACTGCAAAGGATACATCAATGGATGTTTCGTTACTTCAATTAGTCATAATGAGAATTAACATTCTAATACAGAATTCTCTTATCTATACTAATATTATAAAGAGTTAAAGTTTGTGAGTTTGTGACGTTGTAGAGGGTAACTTGAGCGAAGCGAGGGTGAGTCGCTAGCTGATAATAAACAGACTGCCATGTAATAGAACTCAAAAGAAAAAAATAGGCCCTTCATCAGCCTTCAGGTGTGTTATAAATCAATGTTAATAAACGGTTTACTTAGTGCTGTATACGAAAATGTATGGATTCCATACAATTTCCATATTATACAAGCAACGAACCGGTGAGCCAGATGGCTGAATGGGTCTGAGTTGGATCGAGCAGCCCTAAAAGGTCTAAAGCCGAACCGAGGATTCAATATTCAACAAAATAACATTAATTCAATATAAAAAAGCCTTTACCTATATATAAATAAATGTTTAGTAGATGTGTTTGTACATTATTATGTGGGCGCGTCAGTCACGCTTGGCATTAGCCAGGACAAAGGAATGTAGGCTTTTAGACTTCCTGATCTTGTGACTTACATACATACATCATGCCGCATTAAGTCTTCGATAAAAGTTGCCTTCGTATAATAGCAATATAAAATACCTAAAAAGTCACTGTGCCACATAATACAAGTATGTTATCAGTTTATATCGACACGCAATTCGTAGGTATTAAAATATTTTTGACATCTTGTCAGAAAAATAAACAAATTAAAAAGTTATAACCTATAAAACAATTGTGATATATGTATATGCATACATTGTATATGATTTGTAGGAATATACTAATTCTGTTTGTCTATGAAGATGTAAAGCTATTTATTGTTTATAGGCGCATGCGCATCGTTTGTCTGATTTAATAGAAACTTAAAAAAGTTACTTAAGTTACTGGTAAACCTCATTCATCATAATATTAAATTTGTTCCTCTTTATATAACTAGTGATATCAACGGCGCACCATTGACACCTCTTATGACCTCTGACTTCAAATACCTACTCAAAAATAAAAATATGTTTTTGTTTATTTATAATATGTATGTATTTAAAGTTATATATGTATAATGTATCAACTATCTGGTATCCATAACACAAGCCTCGTAGCTTACCATGGAACTAGATGGTGCTGTGTGTTAATGTCCTGACATATTTATTTATTTATATACATACCTAAATATAAATATATGTATACAATTTCATGGAGTAATCTGATTTTGACTGATTCAAAAAAAAGGAGAAGTTAGATATGACTTGACCTAGACCTGACTTCCTTCGAGAAACATTCGAACAGGTAAACGTATGTCTTCTTAATTCTTATGTGTATGGAACGCGAACTACAAGGGTGGTGTGGAATTACCACAAGGAGTGAGACCATCACATAAATTACTTCAACCAAAAGGGAGGAGTAGTTGAAGAAAAGATTTGTGCAGGTTTGAAGAGAGTTTTGGATCTATGTATGTAGCTTACAAACATCAATTTCAATTTAAAATCAAAAATGATATTGGAAGTAAGTATCTTAATAAATGTAATATGAAAATTCGAACGAGTTTATTTGTATAATACTCTCTAAGTAACTATATACTTTTTAAATAATTAACTTCATTTAAAATTTATTTAAATTGAAGTTTCTATCATGTTCCTAAATGATTTTATCTTTTTATAAATTTTATTGAGCAATTAGTGTTTGTACTTTCTAATGAAAATGTCGACTGGCTCAGTACGCGAGTGCAAAAAAAACGCAGGTTGTACAGGAAATATAAAAGAGTTTACTAAATTGGTAACTGCAATAAAATTTAAATAATATTTTATAGGCATAGGATATTTTTGACGTTTTACGGCTTATCGCGTTCTCATTTCCATAAAACTAAGAATCTCGTATTTATTTTTGGTTCGGCTAATTGTACCTAAGTTAAAAATTAAACTTACGACATAGAATAGTTTTCATCCCAGAAATCATTCCTTAAGGGGGTGAAAATGGGGAAGAAAGTCCGTATGGATTAACTAATTAACCTGAGCGAAGCGAGGATGAATCGCTAGTAGTTTATAAATTGCATGGTATTCACATTTGAAGAAGATGAATTTATTTTTAAAAGGTTTATTTCTAGATGGTTAATTTAAGCCTTACAAAAACCATCTATGATGACAATAAATTCAAAACGCATCTGAAAACAGTTATAGGGAGTTTCTCACTTGGGATAAATTAATTCCAATTCTGTGTATATTAGTTTTTGTTTATGTACCAAAAGCAATTAATTACATTACTAAAAGTATTAAATATTTGGCAGCTATGAAGAAAAGGATTTATTACAAAAATATTGGTGGCTGATTTTCATCCTGAAATATAAACTAGTTCCCACGGGATATGGTTCACTCAAGGTGAAGCCGGGGGGTCGCCAGTGAACGACGAACGTACGAACAATAGTTAGAGATGTTGATCGCAATGATATAATACGTTACAAGTGAGTCGCGATCAGATCGCTGGAATGCGGTTCACCTCTCGCTTTTGCGGTTTCGTTTAACCCCAAACAGTATGAATAAATGCCAAGTTACTATTAAGCATTGTATTCACTAATTATGCGTTCTATAACAAGGTTGTTATTTAGTTATTTAAATATAGTTTATTGATTTATATCGATAGGTAGGATAGGGAAACTACAGTAGATATGCAGTGCAGGTACAATGTATGTATTCAGCCCTTTTTAACGTCCCACTGCTGGGCACAGGCCTCCCTTCAGTACGAGGGGGATCAGGCCGTAGTCCACTACGCTGGCCAAGTGCGGGTTAGCAGACTTCACATGTCTTTTGAAAACTTACTAGGTTCTATCAGACATGCAGGATTTCTTACGATGTTTTCCTTTACCGTAGGTACAATAGCAGGTGAATAACAGGAACCTATGAATTACTCCAGTTCCATCAAAATACTAAAAACTTTGGTATTTTTAATAGTATATTGTTCAGTTTCCTATGCTAGATCACCTCAGTTATGAGGCATTTGCTTTCCTGGTGGGCGTTTGATCCATGATATTGAGTGAACGATTTTGTGAAAATTGAAATTAAAAATCCTCTTGCACTCGACGTAAATTAAATAAACTTTGTGTAAACAAATAAAAAAGCTATGTGTAGAATAAGATGTCAAACTTGACACATATATGAGATTCTTGTTACACTATTGACTAATGAGCAAACACTCGGACCCAACCACCTTGATACACTTGCGATGCTTAAGACCTGTTTACTAGCCCCCGCACACTGCTGACTTTCTATTGGTTAGTTTACTCATATGATATTATCGACTGATACCAAAGCACTAATTATTAACCCGTCTTAACTATTAGCTGATAGAAAGTCTGCAGTGTGCAGAATCTTTTACCGTCATGTGTACTGACTTCATAACTTACTCGGTTAATTTTTATTATCGAATATAAAATTGGTCTTTACCAATTCGTATCGGACTCGTGTGAAATTTTACTATAATGGTTTTGAAATATTTTACTTTTCAACTATGATTAGAATTAGATATCTCTATATTGTCTCTCTTAGATCTTAGCTTTAAATCTAAATCAAGTTTTCGTAAAATAATTGTAAACGTGAGTCGTGGGAACTGTAAATTAAGTAACCATTTCCTCACCTGTTCCACTATTCTACAGTCGACACAAATAGCTTAGGTAGCTGATGCTGTCTTGTTTATCTGGCTACCTTATGCTTTTGGAATTTAACGGTCTTTGAATCAGATATTGGTGGGACCAGTAATGTTTATATTAAAAATATTTCTAAATTAAATTAGGAATTTAATGAACACTGTACCTTTGTTAAGCTATAAGACCTATATCTGATCTTCTGGGAGTGATGCAGAGCGCACTATAATAAAATCTTGAGAATCATGTCGCTGTGAGTGATACCTGATTTTATGTGCTGACGAACATTTATTACATCAATATATATTTAGTCATAAATATAATAAAATAGCCTCAAGCTGGAAAATATAAAATTATTTAATTACCCAACTCTAACAGATTTGCATATCATTCATATTTTAATTTACTGAATAGTGTTAGCTTTCTAGTCGAACCTAGCATTCCTAATAAAAATGAAAGGAATGTAAACTCATAAAAATTAGTGTCAACATTATTTATAGATACAAAATTTATGGCTTTATTTTTATTTTTTTAAATTTTATGAATTTAATATCATGTTTTTGTTCGTAATTGATACTTAGTGCTTTTCTACATATTTTTTTTCTATACTAATATTATAAAGAGGTAAAGTTTGTGAGTTTGTGACGTTGTAGGGGTAATCTCTGGACCTACTGAACGGATTAGATGAAGTTTGGTAAGAAGATAGTTTGAGACCGAGAGAAAGGACATAGGATACATTTTATCCCAGAAATCATCCCTTAAGGGCGTGAAAATGAGGATGAAAGTTTGTATGGGGAATCAAGCTAGGGACAAACCCGAGCGAAATGAGGGTGAGTCGCTAGTTATCTATATAATTCGAAATTCTCATTTAAGTAGTTGAAAATTCCGCCTATGTAATGCTTCTAA